CTCACAAGGAAAAGGGATAGAAATCCTACCTCGCACTATCAAACATGGAACTAACGTTGCCTTTTCCGGCTTCCGCTTCCTCAAGCCCCTTCAGTCTGAATCCTCAGCGATCACTGATGCAAGACAACACTTTAGGATTAATTCTCATTCCTAAAGCAATCCAAATCTCAATCTCCAACCAAGATTTCCTATTAGTGTGCCCTAATCCATTTTCATGTTTCAAAATATCATTCCAAGGGTTTTCAATCTCAAATCAAGGATTAACAATGCTAATCCATTTATCTCAAGTCCCCAAATGAAGCTAATTTGAGTTCTCCCCAAAAACAGGAGTCAAAACAACAATTTCAGGCCAATCGGGTCAAACCCTGTGTCAACCGGTCAACCGGTGACAGAGTAGTGCAACACTACCGGTCGACCGATAGTGTGCACACTGGTTGACCGGACCAGTCGACCGGTCAGCCTGCAATCCGGTCGACCGCATAGGTTGACCGGTTTCCATGTGATCCGGTCGACCGCACAGGTCGACCGGTGGAATTAGCTGCGCGAGAGAAGCTCGCGGAAATCAGTCCAAAACCTGCAAATCCAATCCCAAATCGAAATATTTCAAAGGGAAACCACTAGATCTGGGTTCTAGGTCCTAAAACAAGTCCAAAGAACCCAAGATTTCCAATTTCTACTCTAGTTTTACTCAAAACCCATCAAAATCCGGTTTAAACCAAAAATAAGTTTTGAAATTCAAAAACTCGAGATTCGAGAGAGGTTCTTTTAGTAATCTTACCTCGAATCCTTCTCTTGACGTTGAAAACTTCTTTGAATCTTTCCTTGGTTCAAGATCCGTTTGATTTGGGACACAAATGAGAGAGAGAGCACGGGAGTGAAGAGAGAGAGAATGAGTGAATGCACGGGAAGGAAAGAAAAGAAAGAAAATGAAAAGGAAAGAAAAGAAAAGGAAAAGAAAATAAAGGATAAGTGTCACATTTCAAAATAACAGTCCAGAAATGCGCCCATACACACTTCTGGGTTTAAATAAATTGCTGAGAATAATTTAAATACCTTGGAACTATTTAAACTCACACGTGTCAAAAACATCTATTAATTTATACTCAATTAAGAATCCAGATTAGGCACACTAATAATCTCAATTACCTTAATTAATCTCAATTAATTCTTCAGGGTGTTACAAATATATGATAAATTTAGCATTTAATTGACGTAGTCAGGGATTCCCCAGTAGAGGAGTCTTCCCCATATATACCTGTCTTATTCCCCATCTAATAAAATAATGCATTTTAAAACTGTAGCAATTTAAACCAAAAAAAAAAAAAAATTCACTATAAATTTAAACCAAAAGGTTGCAAAATAAACCAAATTCTAAACATATGCACACTAATTATAATTTAAGAATTAATTTTATACATATTTATTCAAATAAAATATATACTTATATGTATAATGGAACAGAAGCAGGGCGAGGAGTTCTTCCCCCATCCCCGCCCTGCTATAACTCGGGAACAAGTTTTTATTCCTATCCCTGCCTCCATCTAAGGATGAGCATCGAACAGAACATGATCGGATATACTTTCCCCATCCTGGCCCCCGCTTTCACCTAATACCCCTCACAGACTGAGATTTCATTCCCCCCTCTCGTCTCTTACTCTCGATTACTCTCCTCCTTTCTCTCTACAATGCATGTTGGTTGTAATCCAGAGGTCGTAACAACGACTTTCACCAACGATAGTGACGACAACTTCACTAGGTTTAACTAGATTTGACCGCTTCGTACGAGAGAGCAAGCGAGAGAGGAGAGAGGGGGAGAAAACGTGAAAGAGAACATGAGAGGGAGACTGTGAGAGAATAGAGAGAGATAGAGAGAACACTTACAAGAGAGGGAGAGAAAGAGAAAGAGAATCTTGGGATTTATGAATTTTAAAGTTTGTGAGATTTTTTAGGTTTCAATAACAGCTGTAAATTGTAATTAAAAATAAGGGTAAATAGAGAAATAAAAAATTCAGATTTGTAAAAATCTACTATTTACTAATTAGGTAAAAACAATTATGCTATTTGCTATCTCAAGTTTAGGAAATATGTTATGTACTACAATTTTCATTTTAAAAAGAAAAAATTACAGATCATGACCATTCAAATCTATAGTCTAGACTTTTATCTCTTTTTTTGTACGTTGACTTTTTATTTTTATTTTTCTTATTTTTTAATCCATTTTCTAAAATATCAGTTTTGCCCTCATGTATATATTTTATTTTCTCCAAATCAAGTCATTTTTCGTGTTTTTCTCTATTTAAGCGCCCTTCTTCTTCTACTCATCTTTGTTCCCTCTTTCATGCCTTAAAGGGAAATCCAGAGAAAAGCGCTTTCAAAGAGGAGCCATAATAAAAGTAATTATTAATTTTCCTTGTAAAATGTTAATTTGATTATTTTTATGCCTTAAGGACCGGTTTAGTGTGCCGGATTAGAAAGGATTAGATAGGATCAACTATCCTATTAGAGAAATCAACTATCCTCTAAGGCATAAAAATAATGAAATTAACATTTTATAAGTAATATTTAATAATTACCTTTATTCTGGCTCCTCTTTGAAAGCACTTTTCCCTGAGAGAATATCAAATCCAGCCATAAAAGAACATATCGCAGCGAATCTAGAAAATTGTATACGACCATAAAATATCAGATTGACGTAGAACGTGTAGCTAGAGGAGATAGATCGTGATCCTGGCGCAATCTTCGACTTCCTCAAGACCATATCTAATGCTTTCACCACAGCAAACCAAATCTAGTCGCTTGTCTTCTCTGGCATGCGTGAGACGATACGAAAACTCTAACGATTGACATGGAAGGGAACAAAGATTCTTAGAGATAGAGAGAGAGGAATGGAGGGGAACAGATATGCATAGAGGGAGAGAGATGCCGAAACAGAGAGAAATACGAAAAATGACTTAATTTGGAGAAAGTTGACAATATACATGAAGGGAAAAATATACATGACGAGAAAATGCATATTTCAGAAAATAGATTAAAAAATAAAAAATAAAAACATAAAACAGAAGGGCAAAATCCGAGAAAAGGGGTAAAAGTCCCAACCATAGATCTGAAAGGTCGGAATCTGCAATTTTCTCTTAAGAAAATTGTTGAATTTACCTTAAAGTGCATGGGTTAATTTTTTATCATTTACTCTTGATTAATACTCTTTTAATTAATATAATTATTTGATTAGAAATTAATGGGTCAATGTTTGTGGGCCAAATATCAAAGGACTACTATTTAGAAGAGAAAATTATTGAACTTATTCTTAGAGTGCATAAATATGGATTTTTATTCTTTACTCTTGACTAATATAGTTATTTGAAGAAAGGGATACTAATTAAGAGTAAGGGGTAAAAATTCAGACTCATACACTCGAAGAGCAATTTGTCTCTTTTTTCTTATTTAAAAGGGTATTTGTCTCCTTTTCCGTTTAGGAGAATGTAATAAATAGCAAATTTTTTAAAATTATTTAAAATAAATAATAATTTATTGAGTAAATAAATCATTTACCACGTAAATGGTTTATTTATTGCTAGTAAAAACATTTTTTTATGTAAATTTTCTTTTTACGACTCGTAAAAAGAATTTTTGTTTCCATATAAATCAAGATTTTTTAAAATTTTTTATTAGTAAGTTGTTTTTTATTAGTCATAAATGAATAATTTACATTCATATATTACATAAACTGTTATTTACTTCAAATGTATCCGGCCAAAGAATATTAGATTGACGTAGAACGAGCTAGAGGAGATATATCGCGATCCTGGCACAATCTTCGACTTCCTCAAGACCATATCTCATGCTCTCACCACAGCAAACCTAATCTAGTCGCTTGTCTTCTCTGGCTTGCGTGAGATTATACGAAAACTCTAACGATTGACATGGAAGGGAACAAAGATGCTTAGAGAGAGAGAGAGAGAGAGAGAGAGGAATGAAGGGGAACAGATATGCATAGAGGGAGAGAGATGCCGAAACAGAGAGAAATACAAAAAATGACTTAATTTGGAGAAAGGAGACAATATACATGAGGATAAAATTCATATTTCAAAAAAAAAATTAAAAAATAAAAAAAAAAACATAAAATAGAAGGGCAACATCCAAGAAAAGGGGTAAAAGTCCCGACCACATATCTGAAAGGTCGGGATCTGCAATTTCCTCTTGAGAAAATTGTTAAATTTATCTTAAAGTGTATGGGTTGGATTTTTACCACTTACTCTTGATAAATATTATTTTGACTAATATAGTTATTTGATTAGAAATCAATGGGTTAATGTTTGTGGGCGAAACATCAAAGGAGTACTATTTAAAAGAGAAAATTATTGAACTTTTACCCTTTACGTATGGATTTTTACCCTTTACGTTTAACTAATATAGTTATTTGAAAAAAGGGATACTAATTAAGAGTAAGGGGTAAAAATCCACACTCATACACTCAAATATGTATTTGTCTCTTTTTTCTTATTTAAAAGGGTATTTGTTTCCTTTTACATTTAGGAGAATGTAATAAATTGCAAATTTTTTAAAACTATTGAAAATAAATAATAATTTATTGGGTAAATAAATCATTTACCACGTAAATAGTTTTTTTATTGCTAGTAAAAACATTTTTTTATGTAAATTTTCTTTTTACGGCTCATAAAAAAAATTTTGTTTCCATATAAATAAAGATTTTTAAAATTTTTTTATTAGTAAGTTATTTCTTATCAATCATAATTGAATTATTTATATTTATGTCCTATATAAACTGATATTTACTTCGAATGCTTTTAAAACCTTTTGTTTATCTAAAATCTACTATCTACTGCAGTTTTTCTTCCCGTTTTCTCTTTAAAAAGGCCCTTCCCTATTATCTCCCTTCAACAAGCCCATAAATACTTGGGCCGTAGACCCATTAAGATTTGGGAGGCCCAAAATAAGAGTCGAGAACTTGACCGGTGAGAGAGAGAGTCAGAGAGCGACAGCGAAGCGAAAGCCGAGCTTAACCCTGTTAAGAAGTCGACCCTTTTCGGTTCAAAAACACCACAATATTTTCATCAGAGACACCCCAGTGGCTATGTTTTCTACTCTTCCTTCTCTCTTTCCAATTGGGTATTCTTTTTCTTTTTCATTGTTTATATTAATATTGTCTTGCAACTATATTTTTATTTTTGCTTGGGCCTTAATCTATATTCTGTGCCGCACATCAACTTTTTTTTTATTTTTATTTAGATTCTTTTCTTTTTATTTATTTCATTTTTGGGTAGTTCTTAATGAAACAGGCATTTCTTTCCCAAAAAAGAGCTAGTTACGAGGTATCTCTTTTATGCCTAGTGTTGTAGCTTAGATTCTTCAAGTTTTGGATCACTTTTGTTAATGGGTACGGAGAAAATAAGCGAAATGTGCACTTATTAGAATATTTAAAATGTGGGTTTGAGAAATGAAGCTCAAGAAATCAAGATGTCTGATCATGTCTTGTCGTTTTTGTTTATGCATTCTAGATGCTTGTCTGTTTGCCTGAGAGAGTTTCAGTGAAAGAAAATGGTAATTAGTGGACAACTGTTATGTTAGTCTTGGTGATTAGTGACCGAAAACCGTTAGGTCTAGTGACACCGGGGGTTCGGGTGGGATGAGTTTGGGCGAGGTTGTGGGTTCAATCACGTGTTGTCTTAAAAAATAATAATAATAATAATAAAAGTCGGTGTGATTAGTGAACTTTTCATTGATAAGCTGGAAATTTGATTTTTCATAAGAAGGCTCAATTTATGAATTTCTTTTACCCCATTTTGGTTCTTATTTTATGTATGTACCTGCAGATACCATGCTGCGTAAAAGGCATATTCAGTGCTAATTGTGTCTATGGAATCTATTGTAAGTTTCCCAAAAGCTTTCTTTATATATCATGTGTATTTGTATGCGGCATCTTACCAATGTGGTTCAGTTCTTTCAAAATTTTCCCAGTTTTACATTTGATTTAATACTAGGGTCGTTAAAATTTTTGCTGATAATGGAGTTTAAAGGAAATAAACCCCCAATGGCTCGATCCGGAAAAAGTGTTTGTTGTTTGCTAGTTTCTTTTTATCACCAATTGAATGGTTAGAATGGATATCCCTCTTAATTGTTTTGTTCCTCTGATTTCTTCTCTTTCAGGGTTCTGAAACAAGGACTTCTTGCAGGTTTGGTGACCGTTCAACCAGTGATGTTGTTGTAAGGCTACGAACGCACGATGGCCGAGATGATTGGATATACTGTCACTCCCATATTCTCATCGAAAACTGCAAGTATTTTGCTGATCGCCTCTCTGAGAATTGGCCAACATGTCAGATCATCGACTCGCGGAACTGCGTTGAGGTTTACTGCCGAGAATCGGATTTTGACTACCGTGTCACTGTTCTTCGCCTTTTCTATGTTACCGTTGATGGCTCTGTTGAGGACATGTGGCACGGTGTCAAGAACGCTCTCGGTATACTTCGGGTGGCTTCCGAACTTGGATGCCCAAAAATTGTTACTGCTTGTGTGAACTACTTGGAAGCAGTTCCCTGGGAAGAGGCTGAGGAGGAGGAAATTCTTAAAACCATTCCAAATATGGGCTCTCCAGTGGAACCAATTCTTGCTCGTCTCCAACCGGTCAAGCCATCAGCGATCAGGAGGATATTTCTCTCATCGATCCAATTTGCCATGTCTTCCCCTCCGCCCTCCATGAATGACATCAAGTCGTCTGCCCAAGAACAACTTGAGTACATGCTAACTGAAGATGATGATTCCCCTTTGTTAATAGCTGATGATGAGATAAAATCCACGGTGAAAGAATGCGTGAACCGACTATTTTTCAGATTCAACAATCTAATAGAAGGTATGCTATGTGAGCCAATGGATTCATCTTCTGAGGAAGGGAAAATGCAAATGTTTCAATACCTTCTGTCGGATTTGTCGTGGGGTTGTCAGATGTTGAACAAGTTGGAGATTATGAGGGACTTTGTCCATAATTGGATGGATGCATCAGATAAGATAGTTAAGGTTGTGGAGCAAGCAAATCCAACGGCTGAAATTATTGAGACAAAGTCAAAGGTCATTGAGGTGGCTGCAAAAGTCCTAGAGGCAATAGGGTACGGCACGGTCATTTTGCCAACCGCGAAGCGGCTCCATGTGGTGAAGGTATGGCTGCCTTTTGTGAGGATCACAAAACCCCTGATTGATTCTCTCACAAGTCATGATGATCATGATCATGATCATGATAATGATGAAACTCCCACACTCAAAATCGATACCGAGCTTTGGCAATCGCTCGAATCCACATTCGTTTCAATAATTCTTGCGTTGCCATCGGGCGAGCAGGCTGAGATTTTGATGGAATGGTTGGCTAATGAGCAAGTACAATATCCAGACCTGACTGAGGCATTTGAGGTGTGGTGTTACAGATCAAAGGTTGCCAAGCGAAGACTATCATCACTAGGAGTAGATAGTGAAACAGCCAGTACAATTTGACCTCTTCACTTGAACCCTTTCCCCATCTTTTGTTATAATGGATACCAAGTCCGGATTACCCTTGTTTATTAAGGACTTTGTGAAGGTTTTAAGAACCCTTTTGTAAGGATCAGGCAAAAATTTGAGGAAATTAGTTTTCAAGTTGTATTGTCCTGAATACTCTGTATAGATCAGAAGCCATATTTTGAACTTCTTGCTAATTGTAAATTTTCATTTTCGGCTGTGTTATGTGCCTGATTTCCCGTTCTTGTTTTTGTTTAATTAATTGTAAAAGCCATAATTTTTGTCTTTTTTTAATTAGTTTTTTCTAACTTCATTTGTAGTTGGTGTGAAACTACAACTAGGCTAGTCTACAATATTCACTTAAATTATAATTTTTAAGGTGCTTGGCTGTGAAGGTACTGAATTTCAAATCTTTATTTATTTTTTAAGAAATAAAATTTTAAAATGGATATCTTTTAAGAACACATGTCATGTTTGAAACTTTCTCTTTTTTTTTTCTTTGAGAATTAAAAGTTTTTTTTTTTTTTTTTTTTTTTTTTAAATTGAAAATTAGGCGGTGAGTATCTTGTTGACCATTTATTTTGAGATTCTTTTACATATTTTTTTGAAACAATAATATGTCGGGGGATCCATCATCAATATACTAGTGCAACCTATAGCCATGAAACAGCCAGATTTCGTCCTGATTGAGTAATACACCAATAAGTCCAAATGTAATCATAGCCATTAAATAAATAAATATTGGTGTACAGATTAAGTGGGAAGCTTCTCCATGTAAGAAGCCGTATTTTATTAGCAAAAGTCTAACTCTTAATCATACTAGTACCTTATCACAAAAGCAATCTTGAAGAAAATAAAAAACAATAGTATTAATCTTTGGATATGGATTGTTAAACTTTTGTATATTGTCTAATCCTTACAAACTTCTTATCTTGTGACTCTTTCTTTTTCTCCAATATCCCAAGCAAAAGAATCTCAAATGATGTCCCCCTGAATGCATGGGAAAATTTACTTTTGAGAATATTTTAATGAAATCCCAATTTTGAATGTGATGTGCAACACTCAAGCATGGAGAAACTCATACTTTTTAAGGCCTAATATTGATAGGCTTTCCTCTTTCAAATCCAACACAACTCAGTCAGTGAAAAGATTTTAACTCACATCAATTTTATGACTTTGATTTATATTATAAGAAAATTAAAAAAAAAAAAAAAAAACTGTTTAAATCTATGAAAGGTCATAAAACATTTTCGAACCAAATTTTAACTTATAGGGTTTACTTCTTATACTAGATCTAGATATAATAATTTTATTTAGATTGGCAAAAAAACTACTTCTATGAAAGCAAGATAAATCCTTACTTGTTTGGCCGCCAAAGGCAAGGAGTAGAGATAAAGTTCAAGATTAGCAAGGGAAAAACATGTAAACAAGCAGAAAAATAACTCAAAAGAGAGATACATATATGGATAGTTCCTACTAATTTATAAAGGATAATGAAAATGCAAAGCCAAAAATTTACCATTGCTTTTCCCCATCTTCTTTTCTACCTTGCAACCAATTAAGCATTATAATTCCTAATCTTTTCTCCTTCAATTATGAATTATACAAATCACAAAGTCTACTTTTAATCATATAATGGTATACCCAATTGACCAATTTATGACACCAATCCATCTATCCATCATCAAAACTTACAAAAATAATATACAATCCTCAAGCATATGCTCTCAAATCCTAAGAGCTGAAATTGTTCTATTGACAATGTATAGACCTATCTATACTACAAGTAAAATTCTTCTTCCTTTCTTTACACTACCATTGCATTTAACCAACCCATTGTTTCCCCTAAAAAGAAATTTTTGGAGAGACCCCACCTAAAATGCTGATGATCATGAAATGTCCGAAGGCATTATTCAAAATCCTAATCACGCGACGTAGTCGGGCAACAACTGTGCGGCGAATCGCTTCGGGTTCTGAATGTTGATGGTCTCAAAAGCAGCAGCAGCAGAAGAGTGAGGAGCTGAAGTGTTTATGGCACTATACTCATTTGGTTCCCCAATGTTCCTACCCAACTGAATGCTTTGGTTAGAGACAAAACTTTGATGAGCTCCAGATAAAGAGAGGTTTTCACAGTGTGGAAGACCAAGAGTTAGGGAAACCCCATTTCCTGAAAACCTTGGTGTGAACTGCTCTGCATCAAACCTGCCAATTTCCCCAATCGGGTATTGCCCGAACCCCGAAATAAAGTTGGTTTGGCCTCCCATGAAGGAGTACCCATCTCTGCTTTGCCTCTCATCCCCAAATTTCATTGAAGAAATATGGTCATTTCCCATTTTCCCAGGCTTCACATCCATGGTTATTGATGGTATACTGTTAGGAGACTGCATCATATCATTCCTAGGCTTCTTTGGACTGCCTTGTGTTATGCCATCCAGCTCTGATGAACCAATGAGGGAAAATCCGGAGTGGTTCCTCGGAGGATTGCCTCCGGTGGGGGACGTCGACGGCGTAGACATTGATATTGCCGAGGGGATGAATTGCGCTGCTGCTGTTGAATTCTCCTGCTTTGAGTTGAAATTAGCCGTTTGGTTGTCGGTGGCAGAGGCGGAGGCAGGGCTTTTCTCTTTCGGAGCGGTGGATTTCGAGTCAGAATCGTCGTTGCTCTTGCTGATTTTTTCTGCACATCCGTTCTGCTCTTGCTCCTTGATCTCCTCCAAGTACATTTCCTCCACCATTGGCTTCCAGAGACGAACTCGAGCATTGATGAACCAGTTAGAAACCTGATCATCAACAAAAACAACAAATCAGCAAGAGAAGAACAGAGAAGAAAATTTAGTATTGCAGTAATTATGCATTAAAAAAAAAAAAAAAAAAAAAAAAAAAAAAAAAAAAAAAAAAAACAGCCTTTTACCTGACTTCTTGTGAGCCCTGTTTGTTTTGCAAGCATTTGCTTATCTGAATCCTTGGGATACCTGAGACAAAAAAGATTTGAGCAAAATCTTTGCATAAACATGATTTGAAACATAAATCCAATTCAAATAAGAACATAATTAAACCAAAATGCTGATTTAGTGTCAATTTAGCTTCTCTGGTATGTTCTTTTAAATTTTAACATTGCTGACTTGAGCGTCGAAGTGGTTTCTTACGGGTGAAGAAAGTGCTCGAAAAGCCAAGCGCGGAGAAAGGAGACCGATCTTTCGGGCAATCCTCTCTGGGGTCTCCAAGCGTTTTGCTGGATCATTCCCAATTGTTGGAGAGCCCGCTGCTGCCGGAGATGGTGGTCGACGTATTTGAGCCGCGAGCCTTCGATCTTCCCTCCAAGGCAGTCTTCTTCGCCTAGGCTCTTATTCGCCGCCCTGATTTGGCCTGTTATGGCGTCCTTCAGGCACCGGAATTGCTTCGAGATTGTCTGGAGCGCGAGGGCGGTGTAAGTCCTGGCCGAGCCTACTCCAGCTGCTTGCTCAAATGAGGATATCACTATCTGCATCTGGTGGTGGTACTGTCTGTATCTTTGTTCCACCTTACCAAAAAAAAAAAAAAAAAAAAAAAAAAAAAAAAAAAAAAAAAAGAGTAAAATTAATGAATTTTTCAATCTAGAATATTCAGCTCCTAGCACTTTGCAATTGAAAGTGACTCAAACAAAACCAACAAAGACCCATTTGAATTTCGTACTCAGATATCAAAATCTGCGCCTCAAAATTCCCAGAAAAATTAAAATTTCAATGGATTTTTTATCATTGAAAAAAAAAAAAAAAAAAAACAATGAATGAAAAACATGCTTAGGTTCCTCAATTAAACATGTACTCTGTACTCAAAAGAGTCAAAAACAAAACTAACAAAAACCCGTTTGATATTGAATTTCCCTAATAACACAACAAAATCCCATGCTCAATTTTTCATTTTTAGAATATATCCCATTAAAAAATAAAAATACAAATAAAATTGTTAAAACCAAGATTCCGAAACCATAATATTAATTGTAGTACGTAGATGATAATACATACCTCATCAAGCATGCTAATCAACTTGGCTTTCTTCATCTGAATTTCCTGCCTCTCCGCCGGCGTCAGCTCCACCGCTCTCTTCCCACTCCCTTCTCCTCCTCCGCCGCCAACAGCACCCGATCCATCTCCACTCGCTGCCGCCGACAGCTCCCCGACAACCTTCCCCTCTTCCTCGCCGTCTCCGCTCCGATCCCATTTCCGACGTTCACAACCTCGTCAAGAAGCTCCTGAGCTGCCTTCAAGTACTTTGAGCTCAGAAGCACGCTTTGTATCCCCGAAGCGCCGTTCGTAATTCCCGACACCGACGATGACGACCCGCCCGAGACCCTCATATCCTCTCCGGCAGCCGTATGTGGCGGCGCGTGGGCTTGCGAGGAGGGCGACCCAAACCCCAGCTGCTGCGACGACAGGGTCAGAGACAGGCCTCCCTGACCTGCGCGTGGGGTGTCACGCGCCACCGCGGAGGGGTCGGGAGAGGGCTTCCAGAGGTTGTACTGCACGCGCGGCGGCTGGATGAAGCCGTGGAGTGCAGAGAGGTCGTTGGCGGCGGGGACGAAGTGTTGGGTGGCCTGCTGAGGCTGCTGCTGCTGCGGCGGCGCGTGGTGGTGAGCGAGTGCGGCGGCGGCAGAGTTGAGGAAGAATAGGTTTCCTTGGGCTGCTGCGGAGTGCGGCGGCGGAGGGCTGTCGGAATAGGGGATGTATCCGGTGGGGTTCATCAGGACGAGTGTCTGTAGACCGCCGTCGGTCGCCGCTTGAATTTCGGAGTTGCCATGAAAGTACGTCGCCATGTATATTATATGAAATATGATCTCTCGGTTTCTTCAAAAACAATTCTTTTTTGTCTCTTTGGAATTGGAATTTTATCACTTTAGTTCCACTGAAAAGAGAGGATTCAGTTTCTAGTTAGTTAAGAAGCCTTATTTATTCTTCACAACACCACCCAATCCAATTTAACCACACACACATATTTACACAAACATATATGTACACGACTGATGTATAGTAGTACTTGCAATTCTCTCTCTTGCTTTCTCTCTCTTGTATAAACATGCACACATATGAATACACTTATACACACGTCTGTGTTTTTGGTGTATACATATACCTTTTGTGAATCAACCCATTAAGAGAAAGTGAATATGGAATTATTCGATGAGTTTCGGTTTGGCTCTTCTTCTACTTCTTCTTTCTTCTTTCTTCTTTTTCGTGTTCTTCTTTTGATGATCAGATAAATCCTGGTGAAAAATCAAGAGGGCAAAAGAGAATATGATGAATTGAGAAAATTGAGATCAAATCCGATGTTGGTTTTTTTATTTTTTTCCTTTTTCTCTCAGAAGAAACAAATTCCTACGCTTGAGCTATAAGTAGTACACTGATCATATGTACAAATTACTTTTGCCCTTCTATATCTAAAGAAACTGAAAATTTTTCGTTGCTTTCAGAGAGCCAGAAGAGAAAGGGAAGGGAGAACAAGAAGCTACGTTGGGTCGCTTTATATAGGCAGAAAGAGAGAGAGAGAGAGAGATCAGATGAGATATGGAAAGAGAGAGAAAGAAAAGAAGAGAGAGAAAGAAGGTACAAGAGAGTGATTGAGAGATAGTGAAAAGAATTGATTATAGTATTAGTTAATAATATTGTGTATACCTGGTGTGATGGAAATCTGAGGATGCACGTGCTTCATGATCATCATCATCGACTCTGCAGCATATTACTGCAAACCAAAAACAAAATCAAAATTTTTCAATTTCATTTCATTTCACCAAAAGAACCCATGAAGTAAAAATCAAATATTTTTATTTTCCTTTTTTAAAATTTCTTGAAAGAGAGTGTGAGAGAGCGAGAGAGAAGAAGAATTCAGAGAGAGAAACTCAATTAACAGTAGTTCTTATAGGCTTTAAAAGTACATGGAAGAAAGGGATACATCAAAAGAGAAGCACCACCACACCCACCTGCCTATATAAACTATATGTGATCTATATATATGTATCTATTATAATCTATCTATATCTATGGAAGGATTTATCAGTCCCTTCACTTCACATACACAAGAAAGATAGACAGATATAGCAAGAAAAGCCCCTTCTGTCAGACTCATATAATCTCTGCAAACTCACCCACTGAAAAGGGAAAGAAAAAGAGCAGTAGAGAGAGAATTTGGTTTAAAAAGGAGGCTTCCTCAAGGAAATTAAAAAGATACCCATCTTTATTCACTTCATTATCCACATACCCTCTTGGCCCTAGTGACCAATTTTTTCTTTTATTTTCCTGTAATTATACTTTTAAAAAAAAAATTATATTAAGAATTCCCAACAGAATTATTGATTTTCTTTTTTTCATTTCTTTTCTTTCACCTCTCTTTCATCTTTTATGGCTTTTTGGGTGAAGTACCTGCGAATAGATCAAAAAATATATATATAGGAGAACTTCTTCTTGATTTGACCCTCCCTTTTCAAATCATATGATGCAGCCAAGCAACCCTTTAATGAAAAACAAACTTTTTTTTTTAAATCTTGAGGGACAGAGAGAGAAAGAAAGGGATAGAAAATAGAAGTGAGCTTATGTTACAAAAAAAATAAAATATATATATATAAGGGTATGTATTTATATATGTGTGTATATATATATATATGATCTAATGAAATAAAATTTCAAAGTGTGTCAGAAGATACATACATACAAACAGCTGAAAAACGAGGAAACGTCTCCTTCCACCAAAGCTTAATAAAAAAATGAACCAAGATGAGGGAGAAGAGGACCAAAGAGAAAGGGGGTATAGTGTAGAGGGGGTCCATTTTTTCAATTCAATAATAAATATCTCTTTGTCTTTTTCTTATTTTTAAATAAAGTTTAGTGATTTCTTTTCCTTTTCTTCATTATATGTAAATATTTATTTTTAATTCTTTTTTTTTTTTCTTTGTGGTTGGATGACAGAGTTTGAAGATAAAGCAATTAAATTGCTAGAGAGCACAGGACCAACCATCATAAAACCTACTTTAAAGCTTCCGAATGTAATATATACTTTGTGTTCACTATTTATCCCACCAAAAAAATTATTTAGAATTTTACCTTTGTACAAATCAAGCGCCATCAAAATTCAAATACAAAAGTTTATAGTATTTTCATGTGGATATTTTTCTTTTTTAAGAATAACATTTCTAATATTTAATATATCAAAATACGAGCATATATCGTAAACGTAAATAAGGGAGTTTTTCTTTTAGCGGAGAAAATTCCACGTTACCATTTAATTCTTTTATCTTTTTTTTTTTCGTGACCTGCCTCTTGAAGGCTCCAAAGGTAGTACTAAAGTTTTTTTTTTTTTTTTTGCCTAGAAATTATTAGAATTAATTAGTTGACTAAAGTAGGGGGCAAATATATTAAAAAATATTGTAATTAATAATTTCTCATAAGCTCCAATGAAAAGGCAATATCTCTAAGAAAAATGATTTTTTTTTCGATTGGGATAAAACTCCATACTCCAAGAGTGTTTAGTCCCACCAGATTGGGTCTTATATACTCATATAAAAGAACTTAATTTCTATGAGTAGCGCTGTTTTAATCTTATTAAGATGAACAAGGATGTCCTAGTGTTAAGAGATAAAAATAAAAAAACAGAAATCTGCTGAAGTTACAATCTAACCCCGAAACCCTATTTTATGTTCGAGGCACATACCCCTAATTAATTATTAAATAGTGTGCCATCACTTTCAGTAACAATGATAGGTACACATATATAAGAAGTAACAGTGACGAACTTTTAAAGTGTCTGACGTTAATAGGACTAGACTATTATATCAAACTAAGACATTATATTCATTTTTATCATCATCATGAAACATGATCTGGTAAATATATATAGTGAAGGTAGGCGCTATATATATATATATATATATATATATATATATATATACTGCTCTATATCTCTGAGAGTAACAGACGTGAATAAAGCTGTCATTCTCTTAAAAATCAAAATCAATATATATGGTAGCAGGTATTAACTTTCCATGATTCCTAGGATTCTTTGATTACAAAACTTTTTTAGAAACTTTCTAATATTCAACTTATCAGGATGACTACATTAATTAATTGGTTTAATTCATTTCACTGCTATATATGTGTCCATAGTAAATGCTTCTGACACTGCTTAATTATCTTGAATGACCCATGAATACAAGCGTTCTTGTGGGAGATAGTGACCAAGTTATTATTGAATGATTGCCTTGATTAACTTATCCATTCATTTAAGGTTATTTTATAAAATTTTATTTAGGACACCACTAATGTTAAGCACTACATTTAATAGAATCTAGGCCATATCTATAGAGTTCACATTATGTGATTCACTTTTATTTAGTACATTGTACTGCTTGGCATCAGCGGCCCCTTAATGTTGTTGCTTTATTTTATATTGAAAAAGTGTTTCGAGATATAGCACTAGTATCGAAACTTATAAAATTAGATCCCGTCTATATGTTCTCTGAAACTCACTTTCTAATAAGGTATATATCGGCCTAACCCGAAATTTTATAAGGTATTTAAAAAAAAAAAAAAAAGTATTCATAGGCCCGTCCCAAACCTCCGTCAACTTATTTAGTCTGACTTAAACTTGCAGCTCTAATTACTATATGATATATTGCTTGGCATCATCAGTATTCAGTGCCCCTTGCGTTTGCTCTGTTTTATATTGAAAAAGTGTTTCGAGGCACCATATTAGCACTGAAACTAATAAAAGCTGGACCCTCTCTGTATGCCCTCTATTGTGAAACTCGCCTTCTATTTATATGTGAGGCTCAACACCATCAGTGTCTTCTAGCATTATTTTTTGTTATTGTTATTATTGAACCATGATTTATACTGAGAGAAGAGTTTCTTCATTTTTTTTATTTCTTATTATTTCTTGTGAGATGATTCATTATATGTACAGTGCCATTTTGTAAGAAGCCAATGTAGTACAGCTTCTCATTGAATATTGTCAACTCTTATTGGCTAGCTAATAATAATACATACTGAGAAAATTATAAAACAGTCTTTGTTTAGGTACGTTTGCGGTGGAGTCCAATTATACTCTCCAAAGAAAACTTGATCATGATAATTATTAAAATTATCTTCCTACACAATCATTCAACTTTCTTCCACATCAATCTTACAAGTTCTAGAGGCAAAATTTCACAGCTTATAACTATGTTTTCTTATGTCCAATGATTTGCAAGAAAGATATTTCATGGCATTGGCTTTTTTTTTTTTTTTAAGAATGGAAACATAATCAAGACATTTTAGGTACTTTTAAAATTAGTATTATGAAATTTCCGAACTCCTGAAAGAAACTTAATTTATAAAGAGCTCAACATCAAATAAAATACATGAAAAAAAATACATCGCTAAGATATTGTTCGGTTTTTTATTAAGCTTAATCAATGAAGATCCTATACATGCATGCATGGGACTGTCAAATCCTAATTTCTTATAACCTTAACATCTATTGTTTTTTTCCTAAAATTTTTTTTACATTTTTAGCATATAAAACTAGATATATAATTGGAAACTGGTCCAGAAGATCTAATCTCGGCTGGTCTAAACGCTAATTTTTTTTATTACAATAGATTCATATACAATTACCACTCATCCAATTAAGAAGATATAGCTCAATTTCTATATTTTTTGAGCAAATCATCTTGATGCGACGTTTTGAGATATAACTAATACTGAATTTTTCTTCAAAAAGAACTTTTTAGCATAAAATTGATAGTTACTAATGATCAACTTATAATTTATTCCCAAGCCACTATCATATCCTAAATAATTAAACTATAAAGCTCTATTAGAGCATAATATGCGCATATTGTCATGAAGCAAATTGGGGTTTAACCCCCTTGTACATGGCCGTACGACAATGTCCCCTTAATGGTATTATTAATTTTATCTTAAATCTTTTTTATAAGTTTGCACACATATCACATCAAAAGTAGCCCAAACTTTTCTGCTGCCATCTTATATTGTACTCTCTCTCTCTCTCTCTCTCTATCTCTCTCAAAATGTGTCAGATTATATTACATTTTGTAAGTGGGTACGGTCGGTTCCATATGTGCTTCTATCTATTTCAATACTGTTATTATGAGACCCTTGCTTGTTGCTGCTTGTCTCTTCTTCCTAAGTTCCTTCAGTTTCTTTTTTTTTTTTTTCTTTTTCCCTGAGAAAATGACTTCCAAGGAAGAAAACATTGAAAAAGGCTTTAGATTTTGATACTTAAAGAATTATATATCTCCATTATGTAAGTGTCAAAAAAGAGGCCAAAAGATGATCATATTTTTGCAGGCCATGAAAGCGCAGTAGTACTATTGTGGAAAATACAAGCATAACCCACATGTGTAAAATACATGAATTTTGTGATTTTGACCATTATGTAGATATATATTGCATATCAAAGTGAGGGAAGCTAGTTTCCTCATCATCATCGGTCACATGTACAACTTATCATTTTGGAAACGCACATTAATTCTTCCTATACCCTGCAAATAAAAATGAATCTTATGATATATATATATATACATATATTTGTCAGCACCATCATTGTATGGTGGTCTTTAACTTGGATTTCTTTTTTTTTTTTTTCTTGAAGAAGAAGAAAATAGAAATCTGAATTACTTTGTTGACATTAAATGTGGGAATTTATGTGGAACTTTGTATGGCCAAGACAAAAGACAAATGACGGACCCACTAATTTCCTCAAATTATCTTTTAGATGGACCACACCCCCTAAATGCAGTTGATCGGATCATGA